AAGGTCAAGTATACGTCCTGACTTATTTGGTATATTATTCAGTTGAGATAAATTGTTCAAATTAAGAAAATCAGTCAACAAAAGACCAATGCCTGATGCAACATAGCCACTATTAGGCTCACTTAGCAAGTTCCAATTGATGTGACCTAAATTAAAATCACCAATTATACACAGTTTCGTACCTGATTGTTACTTATGTAACATGTCAATCAATAATGCCAACATTTTTTCGTATGCCGACGATACCGCAATTGTCTTTACTGGCTCAAACTGGGCTGAAGCCAAAATCAGCGCTGAAAATGGTTTGTTACAAGTAGCTTCATGGCTAAAACCCAACCTTCTAACATTAAACAAAAGCAAAACTAATTACATATACTTAATATATACATACTTCTTAATATATAAAAATGTCCAACCAGAACATGATTTCAACATCAAAATACATGAATATAGGAGTGTAGCAAATCGCAATTGTAATTGTCCAATCTTAAGTAAAGTCAACCACGTCAAGTATTTAGGTGTAGTGTTGGACCAAAGCTTGTCCTGGTACGCTCAAATCGAAAAAATTACTGCGAGAATACGTAAGTTTATTTGGATTTTGAAAACTCTGCGTCATGTAGTCCTTAAGAGTGGCGAATCAAAAAACCTTCTAAATGAAGTGTATATCTCGCTAGTCCAATCAGTGATAATATATTGTATTTCTATTTGGGGAGGGGCACGTAAGACACATTTTCTTGACATTTACTTTTTATTTTACAATTGTTAGTGCTAGGACCGTGCGAGATTTTGCCTCGCCATTTCTTTTCTAATTACCTATATTCTGACAGTTTGAGTATTTGTGCGACCCACGCAAATGTTCTTTAGATTGGTGTTGTTCGTCGAATCAATCAGCCTCACCTGTTAATTGAGCTGATTGTAAACCGACACATGCGTACTGCCTTTAGAGCGGGTCCGCTCAAACTGTTGTGGTTATTTCCTCAAAAGGCCACTACAGAAAGAACTTGCACGGTTCTCACACATAATCTTTACACATTTGTCTGGACTTTAAAAGACCTCTGAGTTTGTATCTTCATTTCTTCTCAGAGTAGTCAGTTAGGAAATGTCGGCCTCATCGTTCGCTTGATAAAATTGACGTGTAAAAGGGCTGCCTTGTAGCCTATTTGCAGAAATAAATTCACTTGTTTCACTTGTCTCACTTGAAGTTGAAAGAGCACAACGGACATTAGTAAAGGTAATGTACTTCAGGAAAAGGAATTTTCCCACTTTCAACCTATACCAAATTAGTAAGCTATTATCAATCCGAAAATTATATATTTTACACATAGTAAGTACTAAAAAAACATAAAACCATACCATTACATAACATCACGCCTTTTATCCCCGAAGGGGTAGGCAGAGGTGTACATTATACCACTGTACAATGTAACACCCACTTTTCACTACTTATGTTATGAGTCCCATGTAATAGGGGGTGAGCCTATTGCCATATATCGGGCACAATTCCAGACTTCGTGCTACTACTGATACCGAGCCATACCATTAGATTCTAGAATTTTAGGTAGAAGAAGAAAATACAATGTTGCTTGCACCACTCGGGTGAAGACTTTGCTAAATTTCAGTACGATAGACGCTCGACTTACTTATATAATAAAATAAATAAAGAAATACATTTCTATGCTAAACTGTTTAAAGAATGTAAATCGTTACTGTTGAACTGGACAAACAAGTTACGTTATGATGAAACAGAGAATCTACTGTTAAATAAATAAATAAAAATTAAATCTAAATTAAGCTGTTCCTATTTACAAAAACCTAATTGCATGTAAAACAACCTTCCACACACACTTTCACTCACAAAAACACATACACCCGCACACAAGCACACACGCTCGCACACTCTCACACACATAGCCACACACACACACACCAACAGACTTATGAATTTACGATATAACTAGACTTTCAATTATTCATTTTCACTATTGTAACGTGACTGCCTCGTTGGCCGAGTGGTCGCAAATGCGACTGCCGGGCAAGGGGTCTCGGGTTCGATTCCCAGGTCAGGCAAAGTATTACAGGAGTATTTAAAAAAAAAAAAATCTCAGTAGTAGCACGGAGTCTGGAAATGTGCCCGGTATATGGCAATAGGCTCACCCCCTATTACATGGGACTCATAACATATATAGTGAAAAGTGGGTGTTACATTGTACAGTGGCATAATGTGCACCTCTGCCTACCCCTTCGGGGATAAAAGGCGTGATGTTATGTTATGTATGTTATGTTTGTGTAACGTATTACACTTGTATGATATAAAAGAGCTGCGCCTCCAGGTACAGGCATTATATGCTTAAAAGGGGGCGCCACCAACTGTGTAACTTTGTAACGTGTAATAACGAAATAAACATTTTTTGATATTTGATTTGATTTGATTTGAAGTGTCTTATATTTTTTCATTACCTAACT